TGGGAAGGAACCTACGGGCACAGCAAGTGATGCAGGCCCGATGTGTGGGTCATTTAAACACGCAAAATGCCCTTACAGTGAATATAGTTAGTTTTTTTTTTTTTTTTTTTTTTTTTTTTGGAGACAGCCTCACTCTGTCGCCCAGGCTGGAGTACAGTGGAGCCATCTGGGGCAAGCTCTGCCTCCCGGGCTCAAGAGCTCCTCCCACTTCAGCCTCCAGAAAAGCTCAGACCACAGGACCACAGGACCATACCACCACACCTGGCTAATTTTTTGGTAGAGGCGAGGTTTCGCTATGTTGCCCAGGCTGGTCTCGAACTCCTGGCCTCAAGCGATGCTCCCATCTCAGCTTCACAAAGTATAGTTCTCTAATTTTACACAGTAGAGGCCAAGTTGACACTGGCTGGGAGAAGACATAGGTCTTCGGAAAATACCAGAACTACTGAACGATACCAGCCCTTCCACAGCCTACAGGACCCCAAACAATTCACACCCGAGAAGCCTCTGAGAGAAGTGGGTGCCCTGCAGTGCCAGCCTGAACAGACAGTGCCCAGGCCGACCACACACAGCCACAGGGCAGGCTGCCCCCTGCAGCAGCGCAGGCCTCAGGACCAAGCAGCCTGGCTATGAACGCACCTGGGCTGGGGGAGTCTGTGCTGAACTCCGGGTGGGGCTCGCCCAGCTGCGCAGTCTTGGTCTGCTCCTCCAGCACCTGGTCTATGACGTCCAGTCCTGAAGCCAGGTCATGGGGGGTCAGGTCAAAGGACGCTGATTCTTCACACATCTTCTCCTGGAGTCCGAGCACACCCAGATCACCACAGAGCAGGATAGGATCGGGAGCCCAAATCACCGGGATCACCACAGAGCAGGATAGGATCAGGGGCCCGAATCACACGGATCACCACAGAGCAAGACAGGATCAGGGGCCCAAATCACTGGGATCACCACCGAGCAGGATAGGATCAGGAGCCTGAATCACCGGGATCACCACAGAGCAGGATAGGATCAGGAGCCTGAATCACCCAGATCACCACAGAGCAGGATAGGATTGGGGGCCCGAATCACCCGGATCACCACAGAGCAGGACAGGATCAGGAGCCCGAATCACACGGATCACCACAGAGCAGGACAGGATCAGGGGCCCGAATCACCCGGATCACCACAGAGCAGGATAGGATCAGGGGCCCGAATCACTGGGATCACCACCGAGCAAGACAGGATCAGGAGCCTGAATCACCGGGATCACCACAGAGCAGGACAGGATCGGGAGCCCAAATCACCCGGATCACCACAGAGTGGGAGAGGATTGGGGGCCCGAATCACCGGGATCACCACAGAGCAGGACAGGATCGGGAGCC